ATTGAGAGATAACGATGATGATCATCACCACACAGTCACTTTCAAGCAAGTCAAGCAGAGGCTCATGCAGGCGGGATGCGATCCAGAGGCATGCAAGCCCGACCAGGTCATCTGGCTTCACCCGTCTACCAACAAGTGGGGATTTACGGACATCTCACATTTCCGTTTATCGTCATGATGCCGTAGATACAGAATTCTCACCCCCGAGGAGTATAGGAGTCTCGAGAATGTTATGTATGCCTCTGAATATTGGGCCGGCTCTGGGCACTGGCATTGTTAGTGAATATCGATAGCTTTCCTGTATTTTCTTTCTTGTTGTTGCATTACCAATATGGATGTCCATCGCGCTACATGGCTATGCCACTAGTGATAGCTCATGAGGGCACATTGTCACTACTGGATGCATCTCAAGCTTGCACTCCTATACCGCCGAATCGGTCTGCTTGCCTTAGCTCATCTCCAGTCGTTTAACGATGCTCAGTCGCTTTACTCGTCCTCTCTACTCCACCATCTCCCGTCTCAATGTTATTGGGGCTGGCCAGATGGGTACCGGTATCGGTATTGTCGCTGCTAGGTGACGCCAACAGCAACAACGAACTGTACTGGACGATGTAGGTATGGTAAATGTGCTGTGACGATGATGGACAACTCGGCGGAGGCTCTGAAAAAATCCGAGAAGTTTGTCGAGGTATGTGGCGCTAAGTTAGATTCACGTAGAATGTAACTACACAATGTGGTGACGATCTTGGCATATGATGGTCTGATGGACCCTCAGGGCTGGTTGGGGAAGGAAATATCCAAAGGCCGAATGTCAGCCGATGATGTAACTGCTTTCCACAGTCTGGTATCTTTCGCCTCCGTGGAGTCGAAACAGGTCGGATAGTCATCTGTGAGAGCTTGTTATGATGCACATGTCCTAGGCATTGGATTCATGCGATATGGTCATTGAAGCAGTCGTAGAGAATATCGCTGTGAAGGGTCCCCTGTTTGGGATGCTATCGGAGATCGTGAAACCAGAGGTGAACTACAGGTTGTTGTTGTTGGCATGAGATGGTCCATCCTCTGTCAGTGTATTCTCGGTACTAACACAAGCAGCATCAGTATAACCAAGATAGCTGCTTATGCCAAGGGCATGGAGGATAAGGTATGCAGGTTAGCCCTGAGAGTGAGAATAACAACGATTCCTACAGGTCATCGGCACGCACTTCATGCTCCCCGTGCCTGTTATGAAGCTTGTAGAGGTTAGTTGCTGTCCCTCCGCCTCCAGTGTGGAACCTACTCTCAGGTTATCCGAGGTCTATCTACATCGGATGCGACGCACGCCACAACCCTGGATTTCGTTGCCAGTCTGGGGAAGACTGCCGCTACCAGTCTGGATCGTCCTGGCTTCATCGCGAACCGCCTTTTGATGCCGTAATTCGGAGAGCTCAATCCTCGTCAAAGCTTCATTCACCTTCAATAATACCGCAAGCGTGGATTAGTGATATTTAGATACATCAACGAGGCAATCATTTGCCTACAGGATGGTGTGTCGAGTAAGGAAGACATTGACACTATCATGAAGCTGGGTGGGTATCCTATTGTGATCAAGACACGAGTGTCTGGGTCAACTATCGAACATCATCATCATCATCATCATCATCATCATCATCATTCGCAGGCACCAACGTTCCTCTTGGTCCTCTAGCTCTTGCGGACTTGATTGGCCTCGACACTTGCTTGTTCATCATGCAAGTTCTACACCGGGAGCTCGGCGATAAGTAAGCCACACTTCTTCTGACTTTGCTGATGTGAAGTGAGTTATTCGATGGCGGTCTGTACGACCCTTCGTATACTCGGTCACTCTTTGCCGAATGCCTCGCCTGTAATTCACAGGTATAGACCTGCCCCTCTGTTGCAAATGCACGTTGACGCTGGTCACTTGGGGAAGAAGACAGGGCAAGGTTTTTACACATATTGAACGTGGTATCCCATGATTTTATAGCGCGATTGTTTCTTTGTACGTAGTGATTTGGATTATGAAGTTGACAATGCAATAGCGTGGCAGGCTCTGACGTAACCACCTTAGCACGGCCCGTCGTGGAGTTACTGGTCCCAAGGCAGGGGCAAGACGAAATGTTGAGATTAAAATGATTCGCCTACGAGATTTGCACAGTTGTGGGGTGTGAGTTTCCCGCTCCTTCCCATATACGAGTGATGCTTCCGAATATTCATTCCAGTTTATCTTTGCTCATCACTATATCTAAGCCCCGTTGAAATTCCAGCATGAAACGTTACTTAGCTCAAGCAATACTGGACTTCTCAGTCTGGGTAAGAAAAATGACACTTCTTAGATATGTAGGCTTGGTAGTACCAAGTTGGTACCACCGCTACATCGGTCTAGCGAGAGGTGGTTGGATATCGAGGAACCTCGAATGACAGTGAGAGTCCATGAAGTGTGATGACGACTTCCTAAGGCGTCTCCTCCCTGTCGTGCAGTGACCAATGGGCAGCACTCAAGATCAATGCTTGGAGGCTTGTCACAGAATGAGAATAGCTCACAGCGCCACCAGCAATATGAGGATAATGATGTTGATTCAACATCATGATCCACCGAGTTATACGTGGTCTTCAACATTGTTGAAGACCAAGTATAACTCGGTGGATCATGAAGCTGTAGAGTGACTAAGGCGAGATTATCATGCCATGACGTCCACAATGCACGTCCACAATCATTGTTGGTGCTATCCCACCTTGGTCACCGGGCGACAATCGCTTGAGGACTCCAACACGCTCCTCCCGCGGGGGTTGTGATACCGACTCCATTATCTACCTCCCCTCAACGCATTACATCAAATCAATTGATAAATGCAGAAAAGTGTTTGAGTCACGCGTTCAGTCTGGTCGCGAGATTATTATATATATCATAACACGCTTGTCGGTTTGCACTATGGCAATATGTCATCATTACAAGGTCTGGTGTGCGTGAGATTACCCGCTGAATTTAAGCGTGTAAGTCAGGGGAGGAAAACTCACAGTGCAGGCCTTGATCGCATGATAACCATACAGGACTACGGTAAGTACTGGTTAATACTAATGACCCCATTTGAAATTCGAATGTGGTGAATCCTAACTGGCATTCTATGAGGTGCTGTACAATGAAGGGGAGCAATAGTTGGTGCCATCGAACTAACAAGAACAAAGACGACGCTAAGTGTCGAAACAAGCCACTCAGTAGTAAGTTCTTAACCACCGTCATCCAGTCTGTGATAGACAGCACCAACACCAGCACTGCTTGTTGCTGCTGTTGCCACTGGTGTGATGGGGGCTCGATGCTGAGGCACTGGGCAGGTTATCTGCTCCTCTATAGTGTGTCGGGGAGAGGCTATGAGATTGTTACTTCTATAGAGAACCTGAGATAATATGATCGTCCTCATTTAACGTGAAGCACATCGTGGTGATGATAACCTTCTCGTAGTCCTTAGACTGTACAGCCACACCCCAAGCAAATATGAGTAGCAAGAGTAAGAGTATGAACCAATCTGACCACTCTGAAAAGATACCACAGTGGAGTTGTTGGTATGGTATCCCACCTACCCGATGGTGAGTCAATGATGAGGTCTAGAAGAGCATGTGAGGGTGACACTCCTCCAAATGCAAAGACGGTGCTCACGATGCCTTGGACTATGAGAGCTGCCCCCGCCAATGCGGTCGCCATTATTATGAAGGGAGCCATTGATTCGAGAGATAGTAGAGCTACAACAAGATGATAATTACATGGAAGGCAGAGAGCCAACAATAAGGCTTACCAAATATGAAGGATAGTACAGCCATACCTATGTACAGTATAAACCGTGCTATACCCCCTCCTCCACTTGCCGTGTAGAGGGAGTGCTGTGCACCACCACCATGTTTGAGTATATCGACACTCCTCGGGCCCATGAGCCATGCTATTGTCTCCTCGTCATCTGGATCCATAGGGTTGAAGCCCATGTTCTCATGCTGTTCCATTGGCCCTCCACCACCCCCTCCACCATAACCACTCTCGGATGCCATACGAGACATGATAGCGTCGAATATCCTGAGACGAGCAATCAGGATGGCAGACTGCTAGGTTGTACGCCTACACCCAGCATAGCAAACAGCCAGCCCAAGCACCAATGATCGCTACGATAAAGGGTAAACAACGCACTGCTAGTTTGCCAATTATATAGGCGGCCAGCACTGAGACTAGCAGGAGGAACATGCTCTCCAACACATTGTCATGGGGTAAGATTCCCGTCAGAGGAGTACCTAAGAATTGTTGTTAGTAGAAGCACAAGTGTATAGAACCATGGCACCAGTATCGTTCCAGTCCTGATAGTTCGAATCTCGGAAGGCTAGCTGAGCCATCAGTTCAAATGTGACGAGACCCGAAATTAAGAAGCCGAGCAGAAAGGTACCAGGCTTGGCCATGAACAGGCCCCTGATGCAGAGAGGGACACCAATGGCAAGGAGGAGTAATCCCCCGAATACACGTGGCCTGAGGGAGGAAGATGAGGCGATGGACTGCCATGGTAGCGCTACTGATGCGGGTCGATCTCTTGACCGATAACATCAAGATTGAGTATTGGGCAAGCTGATGCTGTGGGGTTATAGCTGAGGTAGATGGAGCAACCATCTGAGGCATGAGGATAGGCTGTGGTATGGGGACATTGCCTTATCGTTTATGGCATACGGGAAGACTTCCTACCTTCAGGGTTATTATAGAAGCTTGCCTCAATGATGTGAGGTGCGCTACTAGCAGAGGCATTGCAGGGGAACTCTTGGTGCAGAACCCATCCATTTCTATCATATCTACAGTACTTCCCATCACCTGCTTTGTGTGTGAGTCGTACCCCTACCGACCTGACAAGCAGTCGTAAACGAGGGTTCACTTCGGGAGGTAGAAGGACTCATTAATGCCATGAGGATCGGCTAAGTGCCAGTCGGTGTTGTCCCAACCCCCTATCCGCACTAGTTCCCCAGTAGGAAGCTTGAGCACACCAACAGTAGCGTTGTCAGAGCCACTAGCCATGGATGGTACACTCTGTACACCTGCTACTGCAGTGATTGTGAGGAGCTAGGAGTAGACACCCACCTTGGCAAACACTAGCTATGATCGTAGCATTACCAGTGTACTCTCCAATGGTGATGTTATTAAGGGCTGCCTCGGTGTCTATCGCCCGAGCTAGTGGCTTGAGATTGAAAACACTGCTATGAAGACCCACAGCCTAATATGAGCAATCATACTGCTGCTTACATAATACGTAATAATACTACTTCTAGGCACAGGTGCCGGGAAAGCCACCTTGCTGGTATCAGGGGTGCCCCTGTAGCGAGATATAGGGAGGTGAGGAGGAACACCCACGAGAAGGAGCTCATCATAATAACAATGCCAACCCCACTGAAGGGAAGTGATGTTGTTCACACTCTCAATGCTAACTGTAGCTCCTCCTATTCCTCTCGGCCCCTAGCTTCGGTGAACAAGACTTTCTTGAACCCTATTCCTTTTGTCATGGATAGCGGTGAAGACTACCTTAGTCAAGGTCAGTACAGCCCACTGAACGCTCGTTTTACTGATACACATCTCAGCCTTCTACATGGTCAGCGCATAGTGCTGACCATGACTAATACACACCCTACTTTTGTGCAGAAGACACATTACAACTACAATTCAACCCAGTGAAGAGGGGATAGGAAGCGATAACGACTCGGTATTAACAGTAACAAGCCTCTTCATGTTCGACAAGCTAATTCAACTTGGCGATGTGGAAGGAGACAGAGACCGAATAGCAATACCAGAACTCATGCAACAGGCATATTACGGGCCATGCTCTCTCCATAGTAGGCATATACACTAACACCATTCACCAAGGCTACGAGGCCATAGACCTTCCCACCTGTGTGCTCCGTCCCGACGACCAACGCAAGCATTTACCGACCCCATTGAGGTGAGCATCACTACTCGTCTGGGATCATCCCTAGTCAATTATTAACCACAGATAATATCTGCCCGTACAGAGCCCGGAGCCGTCACTGTAAAGTGAGCATTACGAGCCGTCAGACCTCGTACAGTATGACGAAACTTTCGTGCTAACATACTACATCTTTTGACATCATACTCCCATAGGAACTTCAATCTCGACGATGTGCTGTTCTAAGAAATTCGATTTCGACAGCTCGTTGATAAAGGATTCCTGGTATAAGCCTTCCGAGGCCCGCTAAACTGCCCAGGCGCCCAGAGAACTGCTCGACCGCCTCTAAAATTCCTTTTTCGCCTTTAAATCTTCAAAGTCCGTCTCTAGCCCGAAAGCGGAAATTTTGACCTTACATTGTCCGATCACATTTGTTAGGAACCCCCCAGACCTATGCACTACATCAACCTGTATCCGATCATGGCTATACTTAGAAACATTGGTCTATGACGAATGCTGGCGTATTCCATACAGTGTAGGCTGCTATGTATTGTCCTTCATATTACTTCTATACACAGATATTATGGTGAATTCGCTAAGGAATTCCCATCGCGATGGTGGTTCGTAGCTGAGAAGCCTTTCTAGGTTGGCGCTCCTATCCTGGTACTTGGTGTTCTATGTCTGGGCCATATCATATAGACCATGGGGCAGGTAGGTGTTAGATTGAAGAGGTACACCCCTGAATGGGTAGAGGCTCCCAAGGAGAGGGAGAGGGCTAAGAATACTAATCCCATTATTATGCATACCACACCTTCACTACATCTCGAATGTTGTCTGTAGGTATCTCGATCGTCGCCCTGCTGAGCGTGGTCCATTTTATCTCATGTCTAGCGTACTTCCATATCATCCCCAAATTGCTATCCCAACGACCAACATCAGAAATCGAACACTATATCTCAGACCCAACACCATAGTAATCATGGGATCGATACAACGTGCACATGAGTGAGAATTCATATGCAGCCTCCACTGGAACTCAACCAAGCAGTGATGCGGTAGACACTCTCTTTGAGAGAGGTGTAGTAGCCACATTAATACGATTTACAGGCAGCAACGTACTATGAGTATGAGCTCTGCAACCTCGATAGTGCTACATGTGCTAGTGAGATTCGACAGAATCGCTGCTATCACAGCGGATAAGATGCTGAAATGTGAGGTCCTAATGATGATAAAAATATAGACAGATGATAGTGGTCTATGATGGTTAGTGGTAATAGTACCACCCTTGGCACAACTTCAAAACCCCAGCCTAAGTATGGTATACTAAACCCAAACAGGTAGTGGTAATGAGCATGATGCACAACAGCAACGGACTACCGAGGACAAAGCCTGGGTCATACTAACAACGATAACAACAGTGCTAACAACTGCTACTCGCCGACATACTCCGCCTATCCTCGTAATCACAGCAAGATGAAATCATGAAGCTCAGCATCGCCCAGGTCGAGGGTGGGAGGTGATGCCTCAGCATCATAATCAACAGTGCTATCATATAGGAGTGTCCAATCACCCTCCTCCTCCTCCTCCTCTTCATTAGTGATACCATCATCCTCCTTATCCACTCCAACAATAGTATCCCTATCAGCTTGGCCTCCACTGCCAGCAGAGGAGGGAGAATCAGCAGAGTAGGCCACCGACAGAGTGTCATCTAGAGTGGAGTCCTCTTGAGTTGTATGATAAGGTGAGGAGAGAAGGCTCGTATATTGTGTTGTGGTCACTACCGGAGCCGTAATGAGAGACGCCCAGTCGATTTGAATATCATGGCGGTTGCTGATGACATGATCACCCTCATGCAGAATACTATCAGAACCCTGATGGAATGGTATGGTGTTCTCAACATAAGGAGGGAGTATGGCATGTTGTCCGAGGCTGTCATTAGATCGGGATAAGCCTTCCTCCTCCTCCTCTTCATCCTCGCCATGATGATCAGCCATATGACTACATCCTAAGGATCTCTTATTTCTCTTCATCATATCATTAAGCATGTCAGTGATAGTATTCACGCTATGTCGACGATGTGTATTATCATCTAAGTGGTTGCCAGAGTGCGACAGCAAGTTGTGTTGCATAAAGTCCTCCAAGATGAGAGCACTCATACCATCATACTCCCATTCTACCGACGAATGGTGATGGTGGTGGTGGTGGTGGTGGCCACCGTCGGTGTCATCATCATACGCAAACCATCTAAGAGAAGTACTATGTAGGATAGAAAGTCCGGGATAAACTTACACTGGGAAGGCTGTAGTAGTGATAGTAGCAGGTGACATTATACGCAGTACGAGATAGAATGGTCGGCTTAGTGATGAACAATAAACTGTGATACTACTATTATCCCAATAACACAAGAAGACCTGTAATAATGCTACCGGTTACCCCTAGCTTTCCTCGCCATCAACATCCTCACAGACTGCTCTACTACTAAGTGACTATTACTACTATCCAATGATGATGACGATGATCGCCCTCCCTTGTTCTTCCTCCTCGTCCCAAATATTGGCTCTGATAGCTTCTTTGCTTTACTTATAGCAGTGTTCACGTGATGTTCATTGGTCTTGAACATACCAGCCCTCCTCAGTCTTGCAGCTTCACGTGTATCCTCCTCATCTGCATCAGCTAGTATCATACCTTACCACCAATCATCATAAATAATAATATCAAATACTATATATATGGTCTCACCAAAGTTATGCTTCTTCTGCCGTCTTTTCTTCTCTTCCTCTATTATTTTACTTTCCTCTCGGAACCTCTTCCTCACTATACGACTAGCCATGTAATCATCACCATGGAGCTCATCTTCCCTTCGTAGGAGAGCTCTCAAGCCTATATACCCAAGACTAGTGATATTCCACCCGGAATAGTATCGTTATTACCATCTTTCTGATTCCTTACCCGTCCCTCATCAGTTACAGTCTTCTCCAACTTGAACATCGGATCGTTGTCCATATCCCTCCGTGTCTCTGGATCAATAACCTCAATCGTACCTATACTATCAATCCTACCTCCTCCCCATTCTATCCCCTATTACCAGCACTCTTAGGATCCCATTCCATGGCACACTTAGTGCATCCCGACTCAAGTGAGTACCCCGCATGCTCGGGGTCTGTCCGAATCACGAAGGGATTCTCACACTTCTTGCATAGGAATGTAAACTCGTATATAGGTGTTGTATAATACGAACCAACTTTCTTCTTCCGAGCGTTGAACCTTACACCCTACACAACACCCCTAGATCCTTCCCTTCACTACAATCCGCAGCTACCTGAGCCGTCCGTTGAAGACATTTGTCACATCGGACATGGAATGGCATCTCGAAACGTATTATGATGATACCATCAGATATGTACCTTCAACACATAGTTATGTATCGACGATGATCAGGAAAGGTAGTACTTGGCCCTCTTCCCCAGTGTATGGGCCTTATTGATCTTATTGATACTACCATGCCGCTCTTCATAACTGAATAGGAATGGTCGTGAGGACAAGAGAAGTTAGTACTTCTTACTCAGGTGGGAAGTAGAAGTTATCAGCGCGAGTTGCTTTGATTGCTAATCCAGACTGCGACATGAATTATAAAATAAAGATCAAAACAACTGTAGTAGACAGTGATAGGAGGATGGTAGTCAATACGGGTTTAGTTATGATTCAGTCTTCCCACACTGTCCCAGTTAATGACAGCGAACATAAGTTATAGTGCATAGCTCATCATGCAGTTTAGTAGAGACCCTCTACTGGAGAGACCCTCTACTAGAGGGCCTTGCCATATGGGAAATCCCGGCACATAGGCTATCTGTGAGGGCTGTAAGATCACGTTAGCGAGTACCAGCACCACTTTGGGCCGCTTGAAGTTTACACGTATAATCGTTTCCAAAGAAGTAGAATTACTGGGCGCGCGCTATTCAAAGATCCGGCTGGCGCACATGAGTATCGTAAAGCGGCTCGAATGGATAAGTTGTCTAACACTATCCAGAGCCGTATATTAGTCTTGTGGGAGTTGTATACATTTTCAGATTGTGGGAGTTACACGTAAATCAGGCAATAGTGTGATCAATATCTATCTCGTTGTTGTGGCACGTTGGTCCGTGAGGCTTCCGCATGCTCCGACTGCCGAACGCTACTCGCCATCGTATAAACAAGCAAAGAGAATACTTGAGCCAGATGGCTACGGAGTATACATGCAGTCACTGAATTAGCAATAATACTCAATACTCAATATATAACGAATCATCACGGCTTCGGGGCGTTTCTCCAGGGCGAGCGAGTAGACTATCACGGCTGGTCATCAGGCGTGACATGCCCCTCCCCGTAGTCCCAAGTCTCTTGAGAGAGAGCTAGCCATTCACGGGCGGACACACCTTCATCTGCAACGTCCCACACGATGAGTACACGATCATCTTCGCTTCGATCAACCAAGATGGTACCCCAATGATAATCCCGGAAGCCATCGGCGTGTGACAGCAGGACTCTAAGTCTGGCACCGACCAGAGTGGGACCTGCGTGCACTTCACAAGCAAGCTTCAACGGGTGCAGGTTGTAGTGATTCTCGATGGTGATCCTCTCTGCTCCAGCCCGTGGTGACGAGTGCAATACTCTGTATCTGTGCGTAGATAGGCAGCTGACAACCCATCCGGTTCGCCAGCATGCGTCCTGCTTCCGCGACGGCTGATGAATGATGACCGAGTCACCCACTCGGAAGGGTTGCGTAGGGCGGCTACCCCCGCTTAACGTTTCGAAGACTGCTCGACGACGGGCCGGAAGGTAATGGTTGACGAATGATCTCATTAGATGTGCGCGACGGCCGACGAAAGCAGACTTCTCAGCATCATCCATCGCCTCAGAACTCCCTGCAAGATCCGGGGTGATCAACCCCACTCCTTGGTGACCTCTCAATGAATAGCCGAATCGCAAAGAGTTCGGGGTGAGTGCGACTACCCGAGCGTCCTGGGTGACGTCGCCGCTAGTCAAAGGACGCGAGTTGATGATACTGCACACCTCGTCGCAGAAGTCCTGGGCAACAACCGAGTTTCCCCAGTCACAGTTCCTACTGTAGCCGTGAAACAAGACTCGTGCTGCTTTGAGCCCGATCCGGTGATGAGTTTCGAACCCGCCGGCCCAAGGGGCTCTTGGGTCCTGCAACACGACTTGCGCGTTCAGCCGTCTCCCTACCTCCATGGTGTAGGTCCTGCTCCCTACCGCTCCATCACACACTATGTACCGGAACCTGCAACCGCCTTGCCGGCGAGCGACCCTCTCAGTCGCCTCAAGCAGTTCTTCAGCCGTCTGGCCGCCACCCAGCGCGATCCAGCAGGCGTGTTTCGTAAGGAGGCAAACGCACGTCAGGCACTTGAAGGGCCCAAGGGATAGGACGTCGATGCCAACCCAGAGGTAGGGCTCGGGGGTTTCGAGGGCCAGCCTGTACAGATCGAATCCCGGGCCTCCCCCCGCTTGGCCGGGAGTGACCGCCCATTCGCGCCTACTGCTCAAGACCTGGCATCTCACACATGTCGCCATCTCGTTGGTGACCACTTGTCGGAGCCTGGGGGTAAAAAACCCCGCCTCAATAGCACGTTCAACGGTCGCCTGGGCACTGCAGTGTGCACCGGCCTTATGGTAGACCCGCGCCAGTAGCCGGCGTGTAAAGTTACAATCACTGGGCACGTAAAAGGCGAGGAACAGCTTGCCATCCGCGCCCACGCACTTGTAGAAAAGTGTGCCATCCTTATCGACATGGAATTTGGTAGGTAGCTTCCGGTTCTCCGCACCATCCACTACCGCGGCACGCGATGACCGCTGTAAGGATCGTATGAAAGACCAGACATCCTCGTCACTGTAGGCCGTGGGATAGTCCGACGGTATAGCCACTGATCCCGACCACGCCTGAAAGGCAAAGCGGAGCGTCTTCCATCCATGCAGAGCGCAGTCGACATCCCAGCTCCGAGAAGCCACGGTGTCGGCCAGGCCAACGGGATGTGTCTCGACCGGGGTATCACATTCCTGTAACTGACAGACTCGGTCGAAAGGCTGACCGATAGGCTCAAACTGGGGGACGTCGACCCTCTTGGCAACTGGCAGCTCACCCAGACGGCAGACAAAATCGTCCAGTTCCTGAGCGACTCGCACCGGTGGGTCGAGATGGTCTTGCATGAGCCGCCCTAGCTGAGACCCACCCCTGGTCTTACGCTCCAGAGCTCTCGAAAGCCTGTCGGCTCGCACATTTAAGACTCCGGGGAGATGCCGCATACTGACTTCTACCCCATGGGCTTTGATCAGCACGATCTCAGCCCGAATTGCTGCCGCCAGTCTCTGCAGTGCCCGTGCTTCCAGTGCACGAGATACCTTGACGTCGTTGGCCCACCGAGCACAAGCGGCGTTGTCCGTCCGTATAACCAGAACGGCTCGATCGGGACTTGACTGCGAGGAAATCCAGGCTGTGAGTAATGTGCTGGTGAAGAGGATGCCACGCCACAGGGCCGCCAGCTCCCTTCTGTTACTGTGCCAACAGCTGGATCTCGCAGTCCACCGCCATGCCGCACTACCCAATTCGAATGTACCACAGTCGCCGACTTGAGCACTATCCGAGCCTACCCACAGCGAGAAGCCACCTCCAGTCAAGCTGGCATCAGTCTCTAGGATCAACCTCACCGGTTCGCTCTTGCAGGATCTCAGTAGCGACCGGTGCATACATTTATCAGCGGGAGTGAGCTCCCTCAGCCAGTCAAGTATGGCACAGTACGCTTCTCTCAAGCGGTCGGACAGCTTGCCGATGTCGTACTCCGTACCCCAAGCTAGGTGACTAAAGGCTCGTCCCACTATGGCTCGAAGGCAATCCGAGACCAGGCGCTCGATCGGATGGATTTGTCCCACATCATACGCAGCCGCGCCAGCCGCTTGGAAGGCCAGACGTTTTGTTGGTGAACGACACTCGAGAAATGCCTCAACTACAGACCACCGAGACTGTCGATTGCAGTCGAGAACTAGGTGGTTGTCGTCGAAGGAAGCTGTGAGGCCAAGAATCTCAACCCGCTCCTTCACCGGAAGCTGAACGCCGTATTGACGACACGCCTCCTTGAACTGGTTGACCACTGAGGAATGGACCAGGGCGGCCACCTTCGCCATCTGTGCGCTGAAACCGAGGAGCAGTAGAGCATAGATGACCATAGCAAACCCTGCGACTGCTATCGCCACATCGTCTGCCGACATGACGAGGTCGTCCACATACCACCGGATCACCATGTTGACTAAGGGCCACAGCTCAGTCAGCACGTTGCGGATGCTAGTCTCAATCCGGTGAATCCCTGTCGTCAAAGACCCAGGGCCGAAATGGAGGCCAAAGCTCACTCTCAGACACTCAAAGAGACCAGTAGCCGCCTGAATCAACACAGTATGACGCAAGAGCCTGCATTTGTAAAATGCGGCCTCGCAGTCGCCTTGTAGCAGCACAACATCTCCCTGCAAACGCATCGCGAGGATCAGAGTCCAGGGGATGACCCGTGGACTTGAAACTTTGCCTAAAGCTTGGTTAACCGGTCTGCAGTCCAGCACCACCCTGGGCTTTCGTTCCCAATTCGTGACGAAGCATGGACACGGCGGCAAAGTGATCCTAGTTGAAGTGGCCTCGTCACCGGACACAGGCCGCCAGAAACCTCTCGCCACGTATGCCTCGATGAGCTTGCTGTACACTGATTTCTGGCCCTCTGCGAGCTTCTTGTAGGCATGCAGTGCATATAGACGGCTTTTGGCAGTGGCTATTGGAGTATCCGGGAGATCTACGAAGAGGGCCGCCACCTGTTCGACACAGTCCGGTTTGTCCTCTTCACTGAGGTTACGAAAAGCAAGTCGATACCCTGGCAAGGTTGGCTCTTGGAAAAAGCCCTCCGCGACCGAACGGTTTATCAAGGCCTCGACCTTCTTGGATAGGTCTTCAGGTAAGGATGGCGTTAGATATTCCGTCGTGCATGCATCGACAAGTCTGGGCTGGGCAGCAGTAGTGGCACTGAGTTGATCAACATACCGAACGAAATCGGAGTTGTCCACGATAGGTTCGTCGGCTGATTTCTCAGCGCTGCGAACAACACCTGCACCCAGGTCCAAGCAGAGGCCCAAGGCTGCTCCGAGGTCGCGTCCAATCAGCATACATGTCTCGCTGTTTCGCTCATGGTTTGGGAGGACAGAGACGTTGACTGGACCGAGCGAGGCCTCCAAAGGCTTTCTCACGGTCACGACAACCGCAATCATCTCCGTGATGCTACAGCGACTGCCATCAGCCAGTCCCACCCAAACCGATGTGGGTATCCTATGAAACTTGGCCGACTCAGTAGTATGCTCAGAGGAGTTGCCGAACATTATATAGCTCTTGCCCGCCCCCGAGTCCACGACCCCGCGAATTCTTGATATACGGGCAGGTGGTTTATGGAGACCCACAGAGTTTGGCGACAGAGCAGCATCCACTATGTCGACCGAGATTGTTAACTCGGGTGGGGAGTCCAGTAAAACCGTGCGGTGTTGAATATCCAAGGCCACCGAGCATAGTCGATCCTCTACCGGATCCTTGTGCAAGGCGAGCGTGTACGACGATGGCGATGAAGGCATACTCACGGGCTGGGGGCTGATGGAGTGAGTAAGAACAGGACATGGCAGCTCTGTTCCAGAAGGCCGACTTATGTCGCATGACTTTGGTGTTGACAGACCTGCTTCCGGCTCACCTCTCGCGGAACTCGAACAGTGCGACCAGCTCAGGCAAGAGTTAGTGACCTGCTTCGGCATAGCGGAGGAATACGGGTAAACAGCATCAGGAACATCTCGTCCAGCTTGAGATTGCCCAATACCTCACGTGGACAACTGCGACGGTGAACGAGAGTTATGCTGATGAGAGGGAAGAGTATTAACGATCGACGGGGGTCCCTCAACCCGCGCCGACCTTAGCAGTTTCCCGACTCCATACTGGCGGGATTGGCAGAGCTTGAGACGCCCCGGAAGACAAAGGGGCGCTGCTTGTACCCTTTACCTTCTAGACGAGCGGTGGCCTCAATGGCCGCGGACTCGGTGCCGTAACAGGCGATAACATATGGCTTGGCAGCGCCCCGACGAGAGCGAAAGAAGCGAGCGTCCTTAGCAAAAAGGATATCTCTCATTTGAAACTCGTCCTCACAGCCATCGCCGGTAACAACGAGCGCCTTTGCAAAGCCTTTAACCCAGTTCTCCAAGTTTCCCGAGGTTCGCGCAGCTTTGGTCTCACCCTTTGCAGAACCTCCCGCGAATGATATTTGATCATGCTTGGGCACTGGCATTGCTTCGAGAGGATTGGCGGCCAGCTCGACGTCCTCACTCGAACGACAGATGGATCGAATCACTTCTCGAACTGATCTGAGATCGCCAGCGACCCTCCCTCGCCAAGGAAGAAGGAGTTCCCACTCCCTATCCAGAGCATCCACATCCAAGCGACAGTCTCTGATAGCCCGTATGACTAGGCCCCGGATCTCTCGAGGGAGTCGTCCGACTATGGCCCTGATAACCACTCTTCTTTCACTCGATGAAGCCTCGAAGGCATCTCGATGCAAATTGACAATTCTATCGGCCTCGTTTAGGAAGTTGTCGCAGTGAGCCACACCCGGGAATGACAGGCGCGAGATGGACGTGGCGTATGCTTTCTGTAGTATTGATCTTCGACAGAACTGTCCCAGAAGAGCAGCCTTAACCCCACACCAGTCCCACTGGGTACTCAGTGCCTGATCTTCCGCCGCAGATTTCAGAGCCACGGGTTTGAGAGAAGACACCAATCTCGAAACACATGCCACGCGCAGATGCCTGTGCGGTACGAAGGTCTCTCCCGAGAGCGTTCCAGCATTGGCCTCCGCCAGGATTGCCTCCACAGACGTGTAATGCCTGGATAAGCTCATAGCGTCCTCGCACTGGGCGAATTTGAGGCGCGAGACTTCGGTTGACGTTGCCGGGCGGTGGGACACAGATGGAAAAACTTCTAGCGCGGGCACGGGCACAGATTGGGCCACCACACTCTTCAAACTCTGAGCTCGGGATGCCGAGTCGGAGCTCATAGGAGGTGCCGTTCTTCCTCTGTGATCCGTGGGTACCCATACGGGAGCTCCATGTTGGCCAAGACTGAGCTCCCCATAAGATCTAGTACTCGAGCAACCGTCGTTCACCGAGGGGGTTGGTGAACCTACCCGGGATCTACCTTGCTCCCTAGCTCGTGTTGACCGTAGAAGATCGACCTTGGCTATGGTCTCAGCAATGTCGGCGTCAAGAGACTCAATTTCTGCGGCAATAGTGTCCTCCTTCTGATGGAGTGCATCGATCATTTCACAATCTTCGCGCACCTGCTCCGCTGGTGCCAGCTCATCAAGAATGATGTTGTCAATGGCCTCGCGAATGCGTTTCTGATTACCACGGGCACGGCCTCTCTTCATGCGGAGAGAACGTAACTGCTTTTGCAAGTGATCGACGGTGCAGTCGTCAGGAACCTCTCCTTCACCACCTCGTGCACAGCTGTCACCATGTTGTGGCACGTTGGTCCGTGAGGCTTCCGCATGCTCCGACTGCCGAACGCTACTCGCCATCGTATAAACAAGCAAAGAGAATACTTGAGCCAGATGGCTACGGAGTATACATGCAGTCACTGAATTAGCAATAATACTCAATACTCAATATATAACGAATCATCACGGCTTCGGGGCGTTTCTCCAGGGCGAGCGAGTAGACTATCACGGCTGGTCATCAGGCGTGACACGTGGTCTTCAGAAATCTGGCGTCGTTTGAGCAGCGTGAAGGTTTCTCCTAGTCCTATACCATCACAGGTGCCTTCAGACTATATCATCATTCATTCTTCATTCAATATATGGGCTCATCCTTTTCTACTATGATCGGCTGTGGTGAACCAACTTCAAGAACTCTCCGTGAGCCCAAGACCCTCGCTATGATAGGTGACTCCTACTCCTCTCCTCTATCCACTCACCCTATGCTTACAGGTGCTCCTATATCCGATGGTCAGGACTACGACTCAGAGTTGACAAGGCTCCCCCAAGCCCTCAGGGATGGTGGTCTCGAAGCGGTAAGTTGTTATGCCATCTCATCTTTGTGATCAAGTGATGGTACTGATGTTTAGGTCACCAAAGAGGTAGGCTGGGCCTTCGAGGATCGTGGTGATCTCGACTTTGATCTATTAGCCAACACACCAGTCTCTAATGCTCCATTGGGTAATATCGTTTGCAACGTTAATCAGGGTTATCGGAGATGTTCAGTGCCGTCTTCTCGAGCCGCCATTCCATATTATGACAATGCCAAAATCAAGAACTGTGAAAAAATCGGTCGGGCATGTGGACATGTGAGCTCCTCAAGAATTGTATTCTTATTTCAACAACATCATTGTGGTATCAGATATTTGATGCAGTGTATAATGCAGCCAGCGAGGGTAAGTTTGTCTTGACTGTTGGTGGTGATCATAGTCTGGGATGTCCTACTATTGCTGGTACGTGAATGTATCAGCGAACGTGAATGTATAAAGGATTCATCAGGTATCATGCGTGCTCGACCAGAAACTTGTGTCATCTGGGTCGATGCTCATGGCGATTGCAACCATCCCGAGACCAGTCCATCTGGGAACTACCATGGTTGGTTCACCACTACCTATCAGGTGGTGTACTGTAGTAATCAGGTATGCCTGCTGCCCACGTAATGGGGTGGTTTGAAAAGCGAGCTAGAGGTTTCGAATGGCTGGATGAACATCTATCCCACCCATTGAAGGAAGATAGGATCGGTAAGGAATATCGATCAGTCTAGTCTCATGTATGTTTACATTAGCATTCATTGGCCTGCGAGATATCGATCCCGAGGAGAGGAGGCTCCTAAGACAATCCCGTGTCAAGGTGATGAGCCCATATAGTGTGTGTACTATCATGGCCTTTTTACAGTGTTTCACCATGACTGATGTCGATCGCTTGGGTATCTCAGCGGTTATGGAGCAAGCTTTAAAGCATATTAATCCAAGAGGCGATCGTCCTATCCACCTCTCTCTCGACATTGATGGCATAGGTGAAGATGATACGGTACATGTCCATGGTCAGTTGATGTTCAGATCCAGTCATTGCCCCGGGTACGGGTACGAAGGCTAAGGGCGGTCTTACCTATAGGTAACTATCCATGGAGTGTGTCGTGTAGAGTAAGTGTACATTCAGAGAATCTCATTACATCTGTGAGAGGTTGGCCATGACAGGACAGTTGGGCAGCATGGATCTCGTGGAGATCAACCCCATTATGGATATGGAAATTCTGCGGAAATCCCGTGATATGAGCAGTCCGAAGACGTCTCCGATACAGTCATGTAGTGGGGATTAGATAGATGTAGGGATATAAATAGCACTTGGTCAGCCAACGCTGCCCAGCCTGCTGATGATGAGAATAAATTAGATGACAGTGAGTTTGAGGAGCAACTTCATGGAGATAATCCTCTTATAAGAGGCACACCAACTGTAGAACGAATTAAGCCACATTCATCCCATACCCATGCACATCAGGTTCGCCTTGGATTGGAATTGGTTGAGAGCGCCCTCGGCAAAACCATTATATAATCTTTTTTGGCGAGAGTGGGTTGCCGCAGGCGCTATATGCTATCATTGAAAAGTCTACCGCACTCGTTTTGATCGTAGATAAGGAAACCATAGACCTGTGGCGGAGGTTTGAGTGCCTTGTCACGATATATTGTCGAAGCTTTTGGCAAATCGCTAAAAGGACGTGTCTTGCTACTTGCTACACTTTTACTGACTTTTTATGCAGATATCGAGAACACGATAAATAAACCCTACTTGTTGGGTTTTGTGTTGATAAATATCGAATACTGATGTAGTACCACATAAGCTAAAAACCATATCGCATGCTCAGATCATCAACGTACCGGCAATTAAACTCATGAAGAGTGCCGAAGATTTTGCGACGATAACCATCTATACTAGGCTAGCATGTTGGGGATGTCAAGGGCTAAATGAAAATATCCCAATTTCCTGAAACTATATTGTGGAGAACTTTATTAATGTGTGACGTAAATGCCACACAGTAGCGATCGCTTTGTATCCGTCAAGCAAACTGCATTTCTTCCGGCATGATCGTCACGCGCTTGGACATACAAATTTGTGATATCCTCGTTAATGGACTGCGATGGTCGTATGGCCAAGCAGTAACAATACCGTCTCCATACACACAGCGGGAATAGCTATTAACAACAAGCGACAGAGTGGAGGGAAACTTTGCATCGATGAGTTTCTGTGCCACGGTATACTGTGATGAGAGCACAAAAATACAACACACGAGGAATGATAGTACTAGGGTCATCATCATCATCAACAACGATACAGTATGATTACTCAAGCATAATAGTTGAGACTAGTCTTCTTCTTAGCCTGTACTGCTGCTATACCTTGCATAAAGTCCTCATGCTGCAGCTCGGTAGCGCCACGTCTGAGAGCCTCCATACCTAGGAACCAGCAGCGAACAGTAAGCGAGTAGGTGTTCAATGAAAGTAGGCGTTGTTGATATTACCAGCCTCGACACAAACCGCCTTGAGCTGAGCGCCATTGAAATCATCTGTAGACCGGGCCAACTCATCGAAGTTTACATCATCCTTGTTCACATTCATTTTACGCGAGTGTATTTGAAGGATTCTAAAACTCGAATCCTCCTTGACTCGATAGTGATGCAAGCGTCATGCCAGCTAGTGCTTGCCCCCCTACCGTTTTCTAGCATCCTCGTTAGGTAGAGGCAGTTCAACTTTCCTATCCAATCTACCACTTCTCAATAGAGCAGGGTCAAGCATGTCAGCTCTGTTGGTTGCGGCGATGACCTAGTAATAAGGATAATGCTGCTTGTTAATAGTATGATAGAATCTTTCCTAACAATACCTTAACACGATCATCACTACTGAATCCATCCAATTGGTTCAGCAACTCCAACATAGTCCTCTGGACCTCCCTCACCCCAGACAGCTCACCACCAGCCGATCGTTTCATTCCTAATGGACACCGTTACTAGAGTGGAGGTAGTACGACTCACCGATAGCATCCAACTCATCGATAAATATGATAGCAGGAGCCTTTTCCTTAGCAAGATTGAATGCATCACGGACCTGAGTGGGAGCAGTACTACCCCACTCTCCATCAACATATTGATATACCATCTTGGAGCCATCACCAATGAACATTTGAACCAATTGTGGTCCAGCGAGCTTAAGAAAGGTAGCATTAGTCGCAGCAGCACATGATCGGGCCATCATGGTTTTGCCTGACAAGCTAAGGTGAGCACTATGACAGTAGTATGGCAATGAGTATCATCATCATCATCATCATCATCATTATCATTATCACATACCAGTTCCAGGAGGGCCATAAAGTAATAACCCTTTAGGTGGGGAGATGCCAATCTTATCGAACCTCTCCTTATGGGTCATTGGTAGCACAATAGCCTCTATCATCTCTTGGATTTGCTTATCACACCCTCCGATATCAGAGTACCTCATGAAGATAGCAATAATACGAGCATATGATGAACAGATAAGCCTAGGAATGGTAGTAGTAGTAGTAGTAGTACTGATCAGTGGGCCTCTCGTCAACCTCCATTGCTTTAACTCTCGAATCAAAGTCTTGAGGCAACTTATCGAGGACGAGATAAGAGTCTTTATTGAGGCCGACTAGGTCATTAGGCTTTAACTCATCCACAGGGACCTAATGACAGTTAGAAGAGTCCTCTATATTGTAGATGCAAGGCCATTACAAGGCCAATGATGGGTAGGTAGATAGTTTGACGAGTGGTCGTCTTAACTACCATAGACTTCTTCTCCTTCTTATCTTTTCGTTGTAGTGTGCTTATTGCAGATCCTAAACCCAATAGTACCAATATGATGTCGTCGTCCTCCTTTTGGTTTACCTGCTTCGGGAAGATCGGCCTCATCCTCATCTGCAGGCAGGATCTCTGCAACACTACCAACCAAATGGGGTAATTGCCGATTGAGGTTTATTTTCTCCTAAACGTTACGACAAGAACATTGATCTACCACCAGGATGATGGTGGTGGTGCTAACCTACCTGATTATCCTTCATCTTCTCTTTAATAGAGTTGAGTTCATGCGTCAAACGTTGAACCTCTGACTTGTAAACTCGTATGTCATTCTGGATAAGCCGGGCCCTCTGCTGGATCCCCTCAGTACCTAATGATGTATGATACCAATTGGAGATAGACACCTCTGACTCGACTGTGTTATTATTACTCATATTCTTCAAGTCCTCCATGAGAGACTTCATCTCTGCATCCTCTCCCTCCTCCTCTTCTTGTTGTTGTTGATTCACTGACTCAGGGTTAACAATGTTGTTGCCTGTGGATGGGGCTAAAAGGGGCTGCTCTTCGGGCGAACTCATTAAGATAAATAAACAAAGTTGACCAGAAGCGACGACACAGTCTCCTATACGCATTATGGATTGACAGACTTGAATTGATAGACTTGAACTTGGAGCCCACAAGTTGGGGAGAAGAGTTATAACAATTGTACAGTAGAGGTTTAGTAGTAGGGAGGGCCATAACGGCTCTAGTCAATAATCTCGAGGTCTTCAGCGGCCAACGATGGTGATGGCTGTTTGCCCTTCTTACGTGCCTGATATGCATGTGTCCACAAGTTCTTCATAACACTACTACTACTACCTTGGCATCATCAAGTACGTTCATCCTATTCTCCTCGTCGTCATCCCTATTCGTAGCATCACCCATACCCTCCTCCTCCTCATTATCAGATGTATCCATCCCATCGTCCAGCAGTGGTGCATTCATTCCAATGTCCTTCAATCCGACTTCTGAAGAACAATCCAGCATCACTAATGTACTAGGTAATATCTCTTCAGACAGTGGATATCATTATTATCACCTGGTTCATCGGTATTAGGCATCGGATTAGCAAAGTCACCCCTCTTAAAGCGTGTCTCCGAGAAGTAAGTGACAAATACTTCATGACCACCAAAGATACGTGAATCGTAACGGAGGTGATGATAATAAGCGGACCTCATACAGCAGTAAGTGGGGTATTACGGCCATCTAATATTCGTTTCACCTGGCCGGCCTCTTCGACATTGCGGAACTCAATAAAACAGCATCCAAGACCAGGTACTTGCATATCGACTGCTGGTACTGCAGCTGTATTCCTCTGAGATAGACCACAACTGTTTATGATATCACAAGCCATGCTAAGTACTACTACCCTTTGGTCACCGGCGTCATCCTCCATCGTAGCCGAGTCATGATGATTAATATCCCCATTGGGTGGTTGCTGCCCAACAGGTGTATCCACATCATTACCATTGGCTGGTTGCATAGTGGATTCGGGACGAGGAATAATGATGCTACGGACATCTGCACCAGCAGTTATCGACTTACACTCCACTTTGATATCCTGATCATAGAGCCATAATACAACTATGCCTATGTCTTCTACATGTACTACATCCATTAGGTCACTGTAGTTGATATCATCTAACAGTTCCTCAACACTACCAGCAAAGTTAGTCATGACTAGTATCCTGGAAGGTACTATCTCCAAACCCATAGCCTTCTTCATTATGTCACCATCAAAGTTCATGTAACTACACTCATCATCATCATGATAGCAGTAGTAATAGTATTATTAACCTTACCCTTTGACGATAGCATCCTTAGGATTGATAATCCTAGCCTTCACACCTTGTACCTCTACTTCACCCTTCTTCTTGAGTCTATGTTCATCCTCTATATTCACACATTCAAAGACAGCCATGACCTACAACACGACATCAAGTTGAACAGCATAGGTGACGGTCGCCATCGTCGTTTGGTGTACTACAATCTCTTCATCATTCCAAGTATGTTTGAGTAGCTCAAGATGACGTATCTCCCCCTTAGATGCATTCCTTAATGCCCGTTTAATAGAGTGTTCACTCGCCTTCAGAGGGAATCCAATAAGGCATAGTCTGCTAGTATCAGATGATACTAATGAAACACCAAGCATGATACATATCCACCATGACCATCTCTATAAGCATCATACCTTCAGCCGCGGATATACCTCCTGGTGTGGTACTCGATGTCGCTGCATGACCCGCAGTATAAGCATTCACTGAATCGTCTGGTGCTGCAGGGCCCATGTAGCCTTTAGGACGCCCGACTTTGATGCTTACTCCTGATGCATTCCTAGTATAGTGAGTAGCATGTTAGTAGTAGTAAGGGTACCATAGGATTTGAGCTGATGTCCATTAAGCCTCTCTAAAGCAATACTAGCCTCCTCTGGTGTACGGAACTCAACGAAGGCGAATAGACCATCCCCACCTGAACGCATCATCATCATCATACCTCCTTCTCCTCCTCTTCTTCGTTCTACAACTATACTCCTACTATTACTACCTAACCATCCATGCACAATAGGCCTGCCCGGCATAGCGTTAGCTCCCATATTCATCAAACCATCATTCAATACATCAATCAACTCTGCTGCTGATATCTGACATCACCATCACCGAATGATTGCTGTTAGCTAGTGATAGTAGTACTCCAGGTGGGATCTGGCCAATGTAGAGCTCTCTGGCAATCTTCTGCCTCTCTGCTGCTAGAGTAGCATTGAAAGCCTCCTTTATAGTAGAAGAGGACGATACCACAGTTTGGGGTAGCTGATAAAAGTGCATGACCTATTGTTAGGACTGGTTGACCCTTACCATTGATGTCCCAGCGGCTAGTTGTGCTGCTAGCTCCTTCGGGGGCGAATCGAATCTAATGATGATAACGGATGAAGGATCAATACACCCACAGTAGAATGAGATAGCGATACTTGAAAGGCTTCCGCTTCTCAGAGGGAGACCGGCTCCAACGGCGGCCCTTCCCCCTATCCCTAGGCCTTCGCTCACGACGTCTACTCGGGCTTCTACGTCTAGAACGTTCCCGACTGTCGTGACGGTAGTGGTCATGGTGACGATGTTGATGATGATGATACCCCTCCCTACGATCATCCCTACGATCATCCCTCCGGTCTGATAAAGATATCTATGTCAAGCCGATAGGTACCGCTAGTGCTACTACCTCTGCTACGACTCCTCTTCCTTCTAGACGCCCGATCATCCCTACTACTACGACGAGTGATCCGATCATAGTCCTTCCTGTTGTCCTTTCTATCCTCATCTTCCTTATCATCACGTCTACGCTTGCGATTGGACCCATCCCCAGAGTCTTCATCACGGGTATGCCGCTGCTTATCCTTTCGTCCATCATCATCACCCTGTTCATCATGGCCTCTGGTGATGCTCTCGTTCCTTCTCCTGCTCCTCTTGGGACTGCCCTCGTCATCATCCGATTTATGCCCCGATCGGTGCCTGTCCGATCCACCCTGTCTACGTCTACTATCATCACGTGGGTTACGCCCTTCAGAGGATCTATCATCACGACTCCTCTCTCGTGAGGTACCCATAGGAGAATAGAGCTATTGTGGATCAAGGGAGGGAACTGCTCCATACCATGGTAACCATAGTGGTGGTGGTGATGGACTCAACTCAACAGGCATACTTTACTGATAACAAGATACTATCCCCAGAAAGGCCACAAGTATCACAAAGACATGTTGAATCCGCATAGGTGAGCATAATCATCATGACTCATGAGGGCCAGTCCTAGATGCAGCGGAATAAAGTGCTTCTACATGAGCTAGTATAGACGTAGGAATCACTTCGTCTATGACATGTTTAAGAGTACCTAGAACACGTTGAGCCTTGCATAACAGCTTCCGAGCTTAATACCAGATGGTAGAAGGGCTTTGATATCACCCTCTATCAGGAAGTCTACTCTCGAGCCGATAATACCATCTGAGATAAGACAGTCCTGATGGTATAACGATTCCACTAGTTACCACTAATATCATGCTTATGTAGCGGATGTGCAACGCAATATGCTATCCTAATATCATCGCCACTGACCTGAATACTACTACTACGGCTGCGGGGCCAGAACATCACTCGAGTATATCACCATTCCTTCGGTAGGATACTCTGCATGATCAATGCTACATGAAGATATGATGTATGCACCATTAGGGCCAGGACGGCTAACACGCAAGAGTACAGTGTCTCTGTGTGGGGCCTGATGACAACCATTGGTAGCTCTCCATGTCAGCCTGTCCCCGACACTACATCTTCTGAGAACGGCTCGAGCTCGAGATGGGTTATATCAATGCCTTCATCGATACTCTCAATGATACGCCCTGTAGTAATGCCTTTCGTCAAAGGAGGACTGCTTGATGCTAGGTTATCACAACCTAGGGGAATTCTTAAAACTGCGAGTACGATCGATAACCGTAATCCTACGAAATTCACAGAAGGCTCTAGGGGTGGCCTCAACATAAAATTCCCCCCGAACAAGACATGCTTGTTGGGATTCCCTTTTCCATATCTGTATAACACAGTCCTACAGGAGTGTGTACCCATCCCACTCTTACCCTCAAGCACATTGGTCTACGGCCTCCCACTGGGATCACAGGTTGGGTCATACTCTCGAAATATGCTAGAAGACTCTTGCTGACAGTTGCGTAATGGTGATCATCACTCTGCGGCTACTGCTATGTCTATGACCTACTTGTATGGATTCTCAGTGCAGCTAGCGAAGGCTGCATCGTGTAGTTCGAACGCGAGCTTTTTCAAGGATTCACTACGATCCCCCTTTGGAGTGGTATCTACAGATCTTCCTATGCTCAAGTCGTGAATCATTACCATCACCGATATTCGTAACAGTTGCGGTCATTAAGGCGATATCCTTCGTTATACCATGTCGCAGCTTACCAGGCTTTAACGACATTGCTAGTGAGCGATTATAGGACATACGGCACTGGTGTAGTCCCAACCCCATTCCACTCATTGAGTCCTCCATCGGCGTTAGGTAACTGTAATCATCATGATGCATCACAGATCAAGCACGTTGGATATTACCCTTCCGAACCACTGCCGCTCATGCAAGATGACATGAAAGGGGATGTACCACTAAGTGACAGACAGGACTGTGCATCATCATCATCTTCCTCCTGGCCCAATAAGGTGGATTCCTCTCCATCATCACTATGCTGCTCCGGAGGGAGGCTTAACTCCCGAGCATGCAGCAGCACCTCTAAGACAAAGTACTCATATATATAAGCTACTGGGGTCTTACCTGGATGATGGTCAATTTGTGGTGGAGGCAACATAACCAAGAAGGATGAACCAGAATGGAGTGCATCGTTAGTAGTGTCTCCCTTTGTATGACCCTTAATAAGACCGACCCCCTCTTCTGCAGTACTACACTCAATATGATCTCGTCTGTAGCATAACCATGACAATAGGCCGCTACCCCGTGTACTAAACGGTAACCAACGGAAGCACGATGCTATGAATGATGGTGCTTGACGAGGCTCTGAGGACTACGTACCGCGCCAATCAGTGGTAGTGAACATCAACCTACCTCCTGGAGATCCAATGAAGAATCCTTCCTGCTCAATAGAACCATAACTTACCATTCTACAGCAGGCAACCTCCAGAGAGTTGATGATGATGATCACCACGATTGGCGGGTAAAGTCAGATTTTCAAGGGAAATCGTCAATAGTCAAGGTGATTTCTCGCTCGCCCCGCGCCGTTTATTCTTGCAAATAGTCAAGGCGCGGCCCAAACAGACGATGTCCCTAGAATTGGTGTCCTAGGTCACCACTAACCACGTCATAGCGTCCATACTTAAGGTAAATAACGTCCCAACCGCGGTTCGCATCGGGCTAGGGGTTTACACTGTCATTCCCTTCGGGTTTCTGGTTGCCTTGTTAGTCCCTTCGGGTTTCTGGTTTCCTTGTTATTCCCTTCGGGTTTCAGGTGTGTATACCCATATATGAGTGGATAAGTTTGTCAAGTAGTGTATTGGACTACAAGTATCTATTTGACCGACTTCAAGCGACGATAAGAATGATCTCGGATCGTGAGGACCATGGTGTATGTCCCTCCGTGCGACTCTCCATTCCATCGTAAAGTTATGGAGATGAGCGATTTAGGGTTATATGCCATGGGGTTCTCTGTAAAGATGATTATATGTGCACAAATAGGCTTGTTTTAATAGACGCCAAATCATGTGAGACTCTTGACCGCTTCCCAGAGTCAGAGAGCCCTGCCGATCTCCGCCTTTTGAATGTGAAGGGGATTTACTGTCCTCCACCTGATACAGTAAACCAGCATCCCTTTTACGTCTAACAGTGCGAGCCACGGCTTCGGTGGTCTTCCGAATTGCAGCAATAGGGCGTGCAGTGGCAGAGCACCTCCCAAGCCGCGAACGTAGCGAGTATGGGCAACAACATCACCTCGAGAAGTGGCGTCTAGTCGGAGGCAGAGCAGGGTGGGCGAAAGCCTTCGCCGCTAAGGTTGTGGCTTTTTTATATGCTGATCGTCTCTATAATACTAGAGTCATGCTGCAATGACACTGACTAGTAGGTAATACCTCCTGCGGACTCTTGCCCGCCTTCTTCTCCTCTGATACAGGTGTCATTCGGTTGAGTGTATCATCGAAGCGAGAGGCTAAGTCGGCTGGATACGCTAGTCGGTCTATCCTTTCACTCACTGAGCACTAAGGTCATCAACCTCTCATAACACGGATAATGTCCTACCATGCTCCTTCTTGGGTGCCAGGCACTCATCTTCATGTATCCTAGGTGTAGCTAACTCCTGCTTAGAGTAGGTCATTCGAGTTGTTAGATTGATGACCTCATTACCTGACCCATGATGCATTCTGACCGAAGTCTCCTACTCCTACCAAGAGATGACAGACCTAAGTTGTCCTCACCCACAGCTACCCCTCTAGGACCCTATGACCTGTCTGGATATCGATGCTCCTGTCCGTATATCATCTCAGTGGTGTATTAGATAATCTATTCGTACAACTGGCAGCAGGAGCAGCCGAGTATCTGTAACGCTCAGTAAGCTGGAGGTAGTTTTCTGACTCATTCGACGACCTCATGAATCTGCGCTGGAGTATAGATGTCTTAGTGCCAGTGCTGCTACTGGCAAGGAGTGTCTTGGCGGACACCGCCTTTTTAACGGCTTCATCTGATGCTTCATCACTCTTCATACTTTGATGATAGACGGGCCTGTAACTATCGTATGATATGAGACTTAACGCTACGATGGTGTGACAGAGACATCAGACAAGAGCATGGCGATAATTATGATTATGCCACGGAATACGGCAGGGAGGTGGAGGCAGCAGCCAGAACATGGGGGCGTACCTATTATCAATCCAAAATCCTTGTTAGACATGTTATCCTTGTCCAAGAATTGATGAGGCACTCAACTAAGGTATCAGCAACCTCATCGGTAAGGATCAGCTGCCCTTCGTCCTTATCCATCAGTGTATCACAGAGTAAAAGAGTTATGCCGTAATAATATTTATACACCCTTGGAGGTTCTAGTTCTTGGAACCATCCATCTCGTCGGACCACGCGAAGTAGGAGGTACGAATACGGAACGGAAAAATTGTATGCACCTTGCGAATTCCACAATTCTGCCGAAGGTCGATAGGAGGTTCGTACTCGTGTTAATAGTGATAGTAATAGCCATATATGGACCCGAAATGCTGTGTGAAAGCTGCATATCCTTACTCATGAGAGTTCGCTACGTATAGCTCATAGTCCCGACTACCTGTATTACAGGTAGTCGGGTCCTGTAATATAGCTTCATACATAGACGGTGCACCCGATGCCATGTATTAACAGACTGAACATCTCCAAGGAGTCAGCCAAGATGACCCAGCTCTTCTGATAATAACTGGGATTTTGCGGCGGAGCGACGCTGTTAACCGCGGGGGGGGGGATCGAAATCTGATAATGATCTTACTCGGCATTAGAGAGTCTTTGAACAGGCTTGTGGATCGCCTTCCACTACCATAATCATGACATCCTTTACTGAGATGATCCATCTTCGCTCCTCGCAGGGTGAAGTCTTCGAGGTCGAGGTAGTACAAACAGTGTCTCGCCTATCATGCTCACTGAAGGCTGCCTTGTCATTTGCTGCTCATATATTCAACTTGAAGCTCAATTATTTCAGTCAACAGTCGCATGCATGTCCAATCTGATCCAGAATATGGTAGAAGATGGCGGTGTAGATGAGGAAATACCGCTACCTAATGTTAAGACTGCTATATTGGCTAAGGTAATTGGGTAGAATGGGTTGCATGTATGGTACTACTATGAGCCTTACAGTATGGTTATGCTGTTCTATTGGGATATGGCATGTTGTAAACTCTCTTACAGGTGATCGAGTATTGTAAGCATCATAAGGAGAATCCTCCTGATGAGATAACTAAGCCGTTGAAGTCTACGAGTCTTGCCGAATGTGGAGTCAGTGATTGGGACTGCGAATTTGTGAACATAGAACAGGTAAGGATACATACTTTTCATGCTACTGCTACCAGGCTTAATATCACCAATCGCCGTATGTGTCGTTAGGAAATACTCTTTGAACTAATTCTAGCTGCTAACTATTTGGACATTAAGCCTCTGCTTGATCTAACATGCGCTAAAGTAATACATCGATCTAGTTCACTCCCTCTGTAATCCTCGAGACTATGTTTATAGGTTGCATCTATGATCAAGGGCAAGACACCTGAAGAAATTCGTCAACAATTCAATATCGTCAACGATTTTACACCGGAAGAAGAGGCTAAGGTGAATTGTTGTAGTAACGTCCTAGACTATGCATTTCCACTGGTGTTACTACTTGTACTCAGTTAGTCGTATTTTTGAATAGTACGAGTGCTCACTCGTAGGTACGAGAAGAGAATAAATGGTGTGAGGATGCATAATATCGCTTTTTTCATACTTGCGGCACGACGATATGTGATTGGAGTATCACTTATCATATACTCGGCTTTTCGTTAGTGTGGGTGACTTGCTGAATACGTAGTAGCTATAGGCCACTCGGCCAGACTTGTATATTTTCTATTGTGGTCAATGCCCGCTACAGGAAGTGTTGCGGATGGGGAGACTGTGAAGCTTCGATCCTCGCAAGGAGAGGTGTTTGATGTTCCGGTAATGTGAAAGGTGATCTCGATGGTAAACAGGATACATTAAGTGATGTCAGACCAATGTTGCATGCATGTCCAATCTGATCCAGAATATGGTAGAAGATGGCGGTGTAGATGAGGAAATACCGCTACCTAATGTTAAGACTGCTATATTGGCTAAGGTGATGCTCTCATTACTAGAGACGTAGCTTACAGAGGCTTCATTACTTTGTACGATGCATTGTTGTAGATAGTGGGAAGAGATCAAACTATTCATAGCTATCATACAGGTGATCGATTACTGTAAGCACCATAAGAGCAACCCACCTGATGAGATAAGTAAACCTTTGAAGTCTACCAACTTGGCGGAGTGTGGTGTCAGCGATTGGGATTGTGGATACGTTAATATCGAACAGGTATTGTCAAGCTCTCAATGTAGGCCACTCACTGTGATAAATACAATATTGTAGGAGATGCTGTTCGAGCTTATTCTGGCCGCCAACTACATGGACATCAAGCCCTTACTCGATCTAACTTGTGCCAAGGTGATGTCGAAGCCTAAACCCGGATATAGGTGGTCCAGTGATGTAGGTTGCATCGATGATTAAAGGGAAGACTACTGAGGAGATTCGTCAGCAGTTCAATATAGTAAACGACTTCACTCCCGAGGAAGAGGCACAGGTACTATCCATAAGACCCCGTTTAAGTGGAGTACAGCCTCCAACCTCAGTTACGTGAAGAGAATAAGTGGTGTGAGGATGCATAGAGTAGTAGTAGTGGGATGCAGTATTGTGGCGTGACATCTATATACTTTACCCTTTGGTTGTTAGTAAATGATAACATGGGGATAAGAGTGGAGTTAAAAACCCTGTACATCATAGTTGACAAATCGACTGACAACGCAGTGTCATGAAGGGTCGGACAAGATACGTTTTTAATTTTGATGGCAACATATTGTTTGGTAAATCAGTCTGCACTATTCTTAGCTCCTGGCTGACAAAATACTGATGTAACCCCTTCAACTCAGCCTTCTTCTTCACGGCCCTCCTCCCCACAGAATGCCATTGCCAGCATCTCTTTGGGATAGCTTCCTCGAAACCATCGAAGTACCTGTGAAGCAATATGTACCATACAAGTTAGCTGTATGCATTACCCGTCGAGAGCTCTCGATTGCATGTCCTTTCTCACTGTATCATCATATTCAACATCCTTTACACCTGATTCACTGGTCTCCTTGGATAGTTCCGGATCCATGGTGATGACCGACATTCCAGCAGTGATTGGTGAAGACCCACCTCACAACGATTGACAACATCCCTCCACAGAGGCGAGGTAGGGTTGATACATATAGACACTTGTAGACTGGTCTTCATGGTCTCCTTCATAGCATTGAGTCCTCACGAGGCTTGAACAAGCCAGGTATATTGGAATAGTACCTATGAGATGGTCTGTCGAAGAATGAGGGAGAAAAGCCTCGGTATTGCATTTCCCACTGCTCATTCTCTATGTTGATAGGCTCTGTATTGCAGGTGTTCCACTAATTGTCTGCCTTATTACCTTTATCTATACGAATGGCATCACTCCAACCGAAATATTTCAGACCACTCACCCCCCTTTGCTGTTTGCTCTCCAGTAGCATCTCCTGTTCGGTCTTGTCTCTCTTCTTCCATGGCTTGCCGCGGTCTGTACGCTTACTCATGAGAGGCAAACAAGAATGGAGATACTGTGAGTTCTAATGGACTTCCTAATGCTAATAATGACTGCTCGCTGTATGAGTCAAGTATAGCATTATAACCTTAGCTATTAATTGGGACGTGATTGGATTCAGAAGCATATGTCCCTTCATGGCTGGAGTCTCTACGAGCATATTCGGTGTATCCCTCTCTTTGGGCCGTCCCTGCTGCCAGCACGAAGCTGAGTTTGTCACTAGCTGTCCTCCAGTTCTTACTCAATGAGACTGTATCCAACTCTGACAGTAGAGTCCAGGGGTCTGTGGGTGATTATGTAATATACCAGCCCGATTGCCTGTTCGTGGATGAGGTCGAAGTCGCTTTTGCTTGGTGAGTACCGCTTGAGACCTTGACCATTGGCAATGCTGTATTCTACTGCGTCAATAATTAAGGTCCTGTTGGTCCCGCAACCATGTCGCTGGACTTTGGTACCTTTGCTCGTCTACTAGTGGATGATCGAATCACGGTTGAGGTGTATCATATCTAGGACAGGGTTGTGATGGCAATGCCAAGCACCTCGTAACCAATAGGACAAGAGAGAATAATCCGCTCCTCTGTTAAGACAAGATGTAAGTCATTATGCGCCGTGCTCCGATGTACACCTCATCCCTGATATCATGGAGATGTTTAGGGAGTAGAGGATGGCCAGACGAAGACTGAGTATTAGTAATACTCAGT